ATCGGTGCATCCCTACATGGTGTGGTGGGAGACACAGCAAACCTTCTGGCAATGGCACGTATTGATGTGCCATCCTGGAGGAGTTGGCATGCCTGTGCAACCTCTATAGGGTCCAGGTATCGCCTCATGCTACCAGTAGTGACACTGACTCTAGCCAAATGCAAAACAATTAAAAACAGTCAGAAAAGATGAGTAGGGAAAAAAATGTCAGTGGCCTCCACCTGTAAACCATTCCTGTTTTGGAGGTTGTCTCATTGTTGGCAATCTAGTGCACCTGTTGTTAATTTCATTAACACGAAAGCAGCTGAAACTGATTAACAACCCCCTCTGCTACTTAACTGACCTGATCAATATCCCAGGGGTTTCATTGACTTGATGCTATACTCGGATTAAAAAGTGTTCCTTTAATTTTTTTGAGCAGTGTACAATATATATATATATATATTTATTGTGTGCTGGGATCTATTGTATTTACATGAGTGCTGGGATCTATTGTATATACTTGTGTGCTGGGATCTATTGCATATACTAGTGTGCTGGGATCTATTGTATTTACAAAAGATCCCAGCACACATGTATATAAAATAGACCACAGGGATCTCTGTAGCTGTGTGTCCAGGTACTCACAGAACTCGGCGATATAGGACACGGCACACCACTTCAGCATGGAGCTCGGAGCTCCCCAGTACCCCGGCCTGTCCACCGCTGGAGCCTTCATACCGCCACTCACCGCTGCCCGGCCGGCCCGAATCCTTGGCCACCCCCACAACGCCAGCCACGCCCATCGTTCAAGGCTTACTAGCAGCAGGAGGCTGTCCCTGCCCCCAGCCACTCTCTTACATGAAACGCAGTTTAAAAAACCAGTGCGGCAGTCAGGCGTTCCTTCGGCTGTTGCCGCTGAATGCCTCACTGGTTTGGGGGCGGCATTTTACCGCCCCCCCTGGAAAGTGCCGCTCAAAGCAAATGCCTTGTTTGCTTCGCAGTAGATACGCCCCTGCATACAGGCACATCCTTCCGGAACAATGGGGCTGCAGACCGAACACTGTACATAAATGACAGGAAACAATACCGGCGCCTCCACGTGCAATATTGGCCAGTTTTAATGGTAACGAACACACTGAAGAGGCAGCTCCTACAGGTTCTGAGGAAGGGGGCGTGCCCCAGAAACATGTAAACCGAGACCACACGGGGGCAGTATACGCTGATGCTGCACATCTTTTCAGACTTCCGCTGCTAGATGATTTGACATCCCATTGTTTTCTACATGCCTTTTTACTACCGAGTTCTTGTAAGTACAATACAGTTGTGCGTTTTTATCATTAAAATTCGTTTTACACTATGGAGGCGCTCCTTTTTGTTTTTTTGTCACTGTACATAAATGGCTAGTCCATAGCCCCCAGGAGGTTAAAGAGATATAACATAGGAAATTAGCATGCATTGCAGAGGTGTACTGCATATGTGTTTTTCCCTGACACACACTTTAAGGGCCTGTTCACACGACGCCCGTTTTCTGTGCTGACCTGATCCGTACGCTCTAAAAATGCATCCCAATGTATCCCTATGTGTTTTATGGGCTACAGTTCTCACGTGCGCAGTCCGTTCAGGTTACGACAGAAAAATAATGCATGTCACATTTTGTACGGTCAGGAAACGCAAAACGTGTCAAAAACGCACTGCACTGCAGCTAACATACTGACAGCCCCACTCCAGCAAAAAAAAAAAAAAACTTTTTTTTTTTTACTGGAACGTATCAAAAACGCGGCCAAAACGCGGCAAAACACATAGCACCGCGTCTGCAGATCCGCACCTGATCCGTACCTGAAAATAATGTGAACAGGCCCTAATTACACAGGATTATTTTGCTTTACAAAGCAGTTCTGGGTTGCAATACTGCTTTAAGGGATGATTTGGCAACTCAGAGTTAAGTAAACAATCATTTTTAAAAGGTTTTCTAGGGTCTGTGAATATGTCTAAAAAGCTGCTTAGAACTAAATAATTTTTCCCAGTCATAAGCAATATTTATTGGAATATTATTATTATTATTATACAGACCAATTCAAGTAACAGGAGATAATGATGAGCTTTACAAAAGAAAAATAGCACATCTTTGGGAGAATTATTTACTGCGATTTTAAATGTCCTTAAAAAAAGTAAATGTCAATGTCTGCTTAGCTCCCACTCTTAAGGTGGCCATACACTGTACAACCATCGCAAGACCTTAGTTAAGTGATTAAAAAAACGTACGATCTGCCCATCTTGGACAGGGAGATCGTACTCTCGATCATCGCAAGCCCGCCCCCCTGAGGGGCGGGCTTCCGATGACCGCAATGCTGAACGGGCAGTGTGCGCATGCGCACACCAGCCCGTTCGGCATTTGTCTCCCGAGCACCGTTCAAACCAACCGAAAATCGTACGATTCTCGGCTGGTTTTCTAACATGCTCCTTAGACAAAAGACGTGCGACCGTACAGTAGAGTAGAGTAGTGCGACCATACAGTAGGATTTCCCGCGATTCTCGTACGAGAATCGAGCAGTGTATGGGCACCTCTAGTTTCACTCATTTGCTTCCCTGGAATACAATCTCACCTAAATAAAATGCAAGAAATCAATTCAACATCCAAAACAATTCACACATCTGATGTCATCCTACCTTTTTTTTTTACAAATATCTGCAGCTCATCAGATGTCCTCTCTTGCTGCACTCCACCTCAACAATTTGGCCACTTGTAATTTGTCCTTTTCAAAAATCTACCTTATCTATATTGTAAGCGCCCTTTACACGTCTCTTATCCTCCTCATTTGTCTCTCATAAACTTTCCTCAAATATCCACCAAATCTCTGTTATTCTTTTTTTTTTTTCAAACCTTTGCCATCAAAAGTAATCTTCCTTTCTCTTCCATAACTTGGCATATATAATGGTATAATTACACACACACACACACACACACACACACACACACACACACTGTATTAAGCTAAATGTCCATGCTAGAAAGGATACAATGTGTTTTCTGTATCCACAAATATCACCTTTCCTCCAGAATATCCATTATGTCCAGAAAGTTGTGCAGTTACTAAATGAAAAAGGTAGATATTTGGTTAGGTAAATTAATAGCAAACTATGCATCATGAAAGCTGAAAAGAAGTCAAAACAGAAAAATTGATTTTTGTACTCACCGTAAAGTCCTTTTCTTTCACCTTTGGGTTACACTGCCACGTACAGGAAGATTGGACACTGGCAAACAAAAAACTGCAGGGCAGCCCAGGATGGCCCCTCCTACTACCAGCATGCCTCAGTTTTGTAGCAAGCAGTGCTAAGAGCATGATCATGAATACAGAAGGGTAGGACCTTTGTCCCTCAATAGACTCTAAGAAAAGGATTTTATGGTGAGTACAAAAAATCCTATTTTCTTTCTCATCCATTGAAGGAAATGTTTCACCTTTGGGATGTCAAAAGGGAGTAAATGGGTCAGCAACAGCAATTAACTGCTAAAAGACCCAATGTGCATAATTTAACCTCTTGCCATCCGCCCGTTAAGAAAAAAACGGACGGACGGCTGACTCCTATCTGCGGGTTGCCGTCGTCAGACGGCATTTTTTTCCTGCTCGCGCGCGCTCCCTAGCGCGCGCACGGGCAGGAAATCATATATAAAAAAATAAAAACCCCAGTGGTGAATAAATAGCACCAAAAGAAAGCTCTATCTGTCCCCAAAAAAGGGTATAAAATTCATTTCAGTACAGCATTGCATGACGGAATAAATGTCAGTCAAAGTACCGCAGCGCTGAATACTGAAAAATGGCCTGGATGGGAAGGGGGTTTAACACCGCGGATGTCAACTGGTTAAGGTACCAAACTAGCCTGGGGAACCAATGCCTGATGCCAGAACATGAAAACATACTCACATAATTAGTGAGAAATGTATTGATGTTTACCTGATCCATCTAATACCCTACAGGAACCATCCTGAATAACGAACTGGAAGTCAATATCAAAAGGAAAAGACTTATAGCCTGAACTGACGTTAACAAGAAAAAAGAGCTAATCTTGGAAAGCTGGTGCTGGACAGAGGGTCCTGACAGCAATATCCTGGTTGAGGGTAGAACAGGAGAAGAAGGTTTTTGGCCATAACTTACCTGATCTCCGCTATAGGTCCAAGAGAAACAGTGTTCCATGCATGAAATGGCTGAAAAGATAGACATTCATCTCACCGATGCAATGACTACCAGGGAACAACACTTGTGGTTGATTAGGATTACATTAACGCCAAGGGGTGTAATGGTGGTTCCTGAGAAGGCATAGATAACTAATGTTCGATCCCATGAGGTCACAATGGCCAAATGGGGTAAGGTAAATAAGCACTCCATACAAGGATTGGACATGGGGTAGAAGGTTGATCTCTAGGACATGGGGTAGAAGGGAAACCTTGCTGTAATACCCTGCCTATCCTTGGGCTTCATAGAGTCAAGGGTTAGAGATGTTCCTGACTCCCCAGATCCAATGTTGTGTCCAAGGAACAACGATCAAAAGCCTTACCAGGACAGCAAAGAACATTCCCCTGGGTCAATCCAGAGCATGGAAGATAGCGAGAAAGTTCTTCCTCTTAAGTCTGCAAAGCAAACAAGTAGGAAGAACCTAGATCTGGGTGGATAGATCCTATGACATTCCCTGCTATTCAATCTAAAGTAAAATGCAAGTAAATACATGTGTATATGCAAAATATTAATAAGTGACTACCATATGTGATCTAAAAATAAAAATGTTATTCCTATACAGTGTATGTCGCTAAATAAATATAAGTGACAAGGATTAATCGTGAATAACAAATTATGATTGTGTGAACAACCAATGAATCATGGTTTATAAATATCTCTGTGATCAATTTAACAGTGATAAAAATGTCCTTATCTTCTTTTAAGGGTGTCTTAATTTAAACTAAATGTTTATAAAACTATAAGTAACGTGATCTTCGTGTTTAATTTGTGTAGATTCCAAAACAAAAGACGTCTTTTTTTGTGTGAAAAATAAAACAATTATGCAATAATAAAAAAGTCTCTGTGATATTTATCAGTCCATTCCAAGTGGGAAAGTAAAGTGGTAAAATGTTCCAATTATTCAGTGATGTACACTTAATCCTTATTCTGGGGAGTGTATTGAGATCAATATCATTCCCCTCAAAGTGTGTACTCACCCCAGGTATCCGGCTGTAACAGACAGCCCCACACGTTTGTATTTCCCAGAGCGGGATAGTTCGGTATGTTTTGCCGGCAATTTCTCCACACTCGATTCTTCAATTATAGTGTACATCACTGAATAATTGGAACATTTTACCACTTTACTTTCCCACTTGGAATGGACTGATAAATATCACAGAGACTTTTTTATTATTGCATAATTGTTTTATTTTTCACACAAAAAAAGACATCTTTTGTTTTGGAATCTACACAAATTAAACACGAAGATCACGTTACTTATAGTTTTATAAACATTTAGTTTAAATTAAGACACCCTTAAAAGAAGATAAGGACATTTTTATCACTGTTAAATTGATCACAGAGATATTTATAAACCATGATTCATAGGTTGTTCACACAATCATAATTTGTTATTCACGATTAATCCTTGTCACTTATATTTATTTAGCGACATACACTGTATAGGAATAAAATTTTTACTTTTAGATCACATATGGTAGTCACTTATTAATATTTTGCATATGCACATGTATTTACTTGCATTTTACTTTAGATTGATTAGTGCTGTGCAATAATTTATATTCATTTTATTAGACCGTAAGGATCTATATCGCAGCAGCTTTAAATTTATACACTTCTCTAATTGAACTGGTAGTGTTGTAGATTCATTGGAAATAGTAGCGCTGCCCATTCAGTTAAAACTATTCCCTGCTATTGCCAGAGGATTCCTGCAACTGGAGATGAGCCTGTTCAGCATACGGTTGAACCAGGATATTATGGGGCCCCCATCAGACATCCCCCACCTGCAACATAGGTCCTGGAATGCACCCAGGTGTATGGACTGCTCCCCCATGTCCAGAAGCCAGCAGTTGGGGAAACCTGACCTCCACTGGTCCACACTTGAGATGAACTCATCAAACAGGACATTTCAGCCAAGTCAGAATCCAAACTACCCCTCTTGTCACAGAAAGATCTCCTGATTCGCTTTAATAGTAGAGGCATGCCAGCACTGTGATATTGTCTAACTGGATCCAGATCAGATGACCTGCCAAGGGAAAGATCCCATGATGTAGGAGGATTCACTTTTCAAGAACTCCAAGATGTAGACCTGGTGGTGAGAATTCTCCAATAATAGCATCTTCAAGAAAATGGGAACTAAAACACTGCTTTACTAGGTCAGGAACTACCTAGTAAACAATTCAGTCTGCTCAGAAACTCAACAGATTTGTCCTATGACTGTAGAGGGCTGAGAAAGCCTGGGAAGAGACTAGAGAAAAGGTGATGCCTTGAAGAGGATGACCTATTTATACACAACTCTCCAGAAACAACTCAAGGCAGTGTAACTCCCTGAGGGCAAAAACATAGGACTAAATACTCTATATATTCTTCTGCTGGTTGCCTGCAGGCAAAAAAAAAGCTTCCAGTGCTAATTTCTGACAATGCAGGATCCAGCCAAATTATGGAGACATCTGGACAATTGGGGAGGCATTGTCCAATAGGGCCTACTGCTTTCTCCACAGGAGGTCACCTAAGTATCCCACAATAGGGGTGCAATGAGAGGGCACTAAGGCAAACACTAGGAGGACATTTTGGGTGCTGGGGTGAGCATGAAGAGTCAGAGCTCTGGAAATACATTGATCTGTAGGTATGCATCCTAATTGAATACAGAGGCCATGAAAGGTGGTACCCAGATGCAGATAACCCCCGCACCCGCAGACCCCCACACCTGCCGGGACAGGGTTGTGGGGAAGAGGCCCTTGTCCTCATCGGCATGTGGCCTGGTATGGTGCAGGGAGGGGGGGCACTTGCTTGTCCCCCCTATTGCCTGCCCTGCAAGGCCACTGCTTGGATTCAGGGTCTGGTTTGGAATTTTAGAGGGGATCCCACAAGGTTTTTTTTCTTCGATTTTTGGGCATTGGGGTCCCTTCATTAAATTCCTACCAGATCTAGAGAGGATGGAATGCATGACAGCCTCCTCACACCATCAGGAAGCTAAATTCAATAAAAGATGGTTCTATTGGCACGAATACCTCCTCTCCTCAGAGTCTCCAGTGGCACCATAGTGTTGCACTTAGGCTCCGTCAATTGCGTATACACTCCCCTGTCCTACCCTATGGATGGATAGCCTTTTCCCCCCCCTTCCCCCTCCC